ACCTGAGCCAAAGTCAGACACTTAACTGATTGAGCCACCCAGGTGTGTTAAGAATATCATCTTTAAGGATAAGATATTAGAGGCAATTCCTTTAAATTCAGGATTAATCTAAGAAAATTATTTGCTCCTACCATTTCTATTCAGATCATAGTGAAGATTTTAGTACAAAAAGAATTAACAAATGTATTAAAATATAAACATTGGAAAGCATGAGACACAATATTAGCAGATGATATGCATATATGAAATATGCAAGTATGTCAGCATAAAGAGTTAATAAAAGAGCACACTTCAAATATAATAAAGATGATTTTTTAAATGTCAACAAAAGAACATAAGGCATCTAAATGCAAATCTAACAAAAGATGGACAAAACAATAATGGAGAAAATTATAAGAATATATTGAAAAACATTAACAGAGACCTAATAAATTTAGAGATTTACTTCATAAATAGGAAGAATCATTTTTATAAAGATGTTATTTCTTATCAGATTACTCAATAGAGTTAATATAAATTCAATAAAAATCACATCAGGAATTTTGTAAGGGCAATTGAACTTGGTGATTTGACAAGTTGTTTATCAAATTTATATAGAAGAGGAGAGTTCCTAGATTAGCCCTGACATACTGAAGATAATGAGCTGCAAGAACTTGCTTTATAACATAGTCCTGGGAGTGACGGCCCATCACTTTTGCCATACTTTATTAGTTAGAAGCAAGTCAGAGGCCCTACCCATACTCAAGAAGAGATTAACACGTGGACATGAAATATTTGGAGGCAGGGATCAAAAGGGCTACTTTAAAGTCTGTCTGCCACAGGTTTGTACTTTTTTCAATTGTGATAATAAAATATCCTTGAACTCATACTCCAAAATATAAATGAGAGCAACACTAATATTACTGAATCTAATCTAATCTGAGTATCCTCTGTGTCCCACACATGTAAACACTAGCCTTTGTTTTTGTGATTTGGTATTTCCTTAGAAAACTAGATTTATCACATATTTCTTTATATACACACAATATTTCCTCTAATTTTGTCTTGAGCTTTTAAAAAAGACATTACATTGTTTAGAGTCTTACTTTCTTTTTTTCATTCAACATTTTATTTCTGAAACTTACCTATGATGTTGGCTGTAGCTGTAGGTTATTTATTTTCACTCTTTATAGTGTTTCCCATTGTAAATATACCCCAATTGATTTATTCATTCTCCTTTTTATGGAAATTAGTTTTGGGGTTTTTGTTGTTGTTGTTGTTGTTATTTTGAACTATGATGTAAAAGCTCTTACATATGTCTCTTGATCCGTATGATGATAATTTTCTAACATAGATATCTAAAAGTAGTAATACTACATCTTAAGGCAAAAGCCTCTTCAAATCTGTTATGTGATTTCAAATGATTTTCTGAAGTTGTAGCGTCTATATACCTCAAATTCACTAATTCAGCAAATAAGTACTGGTGGTATTTGCCAGATAAAATGTCATTAGCTGTAGTTAAGAATCAGGTTTCCAAAATCTCAACTTTGCTTTCAGATAAAGTAGGCTTGTACTTTCTAGACTATTTTATTATGATAACTTTCAATTGTTTTATAATATATTGAGAAACATATGAAACATAAAATTATAATTTTATTGATAATCCCATTTTGTCTCAAAAATTGGCATGCAATTTGAGAATATTGGTATAAATTGAAGCAGTCCATTGAATGTATAAACCAAAATCCCTAGCAACTGGAGAGAGAATATATATATATTATTATATATATATATACATATATATAATGGGAATTTAAAGTATGTTCATATTTAAGGTGATTATATGGGGCAGAAAAGTAGAGAGATCACAGTTAAGTGGTAAAGAAGTTTTTTGGAAATGGTATAGAAGTTTATGTTGAATGGGGTTTTAATCTGGTGCAATTTCAGCATCTTCTAAGTTTTAGTAATTCAGGCATTTACCAGAATGGTTTGTGGACTTTTTCATCAATTGGTTTCTCCTGGTTTGACAGGAAGAAACATTGAAGTGAAGATAAATTTTTGTTTTCCAAGAATAACTACCTCCTGTGCTCCTTGAAGCTCTTATCTATTAGTATCCTTAATGATAGATAAGGCTCATCCATAACTTCTCACTTTTAATTATTAAAATTTTCACCTATCCTACTCAAACCTCCTGTCTATTCCTTTGGTGTAGCCTAGACTAGTATTTCCAGCTTCTTAGAGCAGGAGAGAATAAATACAGTCAAAAACTACCATGAAAGACATCATGTCATATGCATATCATAAATTTTGGAGAAAAGATGACATAAAATGAAGATGGTATTCTCTTCTAATATCCCAGAGCTATATTTTTCTAAATTAAGGATCTCTGGCTGATTTTAGTATAATTCCATATTTTGTAGAATGGAGAGAAATAGTGGACTATTTAATGACCATTTATGAAATTCACCTCTTCAAAAGTCTCAAAACTCCTACAAACATTCCTAAAGAAACATGAGATTTAAAAATGTTTCACTAATGCCCTAAATGGAGAGAAATGTACTAAAGCTATAAGGAACTACACAAGGGAAAATTGTATGAAAATCCATTGACAGGTGGAATCTCAACCAACGCCAAAGATGCTCACGCTTTGGCTCACCATTTCCCGGTGTTCGACACTGAGCAGACCAGGGACAAATATAAGAAATACACCACAGCAGAAAAGGTAGCCTGCACACCTGGCTTCAAGGAGTAAGCTTGGGTGCAGAATATTTAATCAGATCTCAGAAGTTGAGTCAGAATCTAGCATCTGTAAATGTCTATAATTAACCTTTCATGTTCCCTCCTTCCCTTAGCTTCTCACCCTGAAGCCATGGAAAAGTGGGTAGTATCCCACAAAGTATCCATTACTTTGAAGTAATCCAGTCTTCAAATTACTGAAACTAGAAAGAAGACTAAATGAAGAAAAAAAAAAAAAAAAAAACCTTTGTGGAAGGGCGACTAAAGAAATTTACATACAATCTGTTAGATTAAATAGGTCTGGTAGAACGGTCTACTATGACATGTAAGCAGCATGAAAATAATGCCATGATAAACCATATAATCATTCTTTTGAAAAACTGGAAAAAAAAAGGAAGGAACAAAGAAATATTGAATGGAAATTGTGGGTAAGGTAGATAAAAAGTTCATTCTGTAGAGGGAAAAAAAGGAAATAAAGGAAATCTCCATAAGTGAGTTACTACGTAAAGAATAATGAGTAGTGTCCAATTACGGTTTTTAAAAGGAGCTCCAAGAATAGACACCCAAATAGAATAATATGAAAGTGGAAATTACAAAACTAAAGTTAAAAAATAAGAAAAACTAAAATCAGAATATTAAATGTAATTAAGTCTAGAATTCAGATTAGACAATTAGAGGGAATAATGGTTGCCAAACAGGATATTAACATTGTAAATTATGAAAAAATAACACGACAAGCAACACAAATCATAGGCTAAGAAGCAGTGAGGCAGGAGCAAATGAAGTAATGATAACATGAATAATAACCTATAAATTGACACTAATTTTGTATACTTAATGTGTGCAAGGCATAATCCTATTCATTTTCTCAGTGAATTATCTAATTCAATCCTAAAACAATCTTATAATCTGTAGTGTCTTAACCTCATTTTACAGTTGAGAAAATTAAGTAATGGTGATACTAAGTAATTTGCCCCAGTACGTGGGGAAACTGAGATTCAAATTCAGTTGTCCTAATGCTAGCACTTCCCTTATTATCCACTGTTAAGCATGACAGTGGCTTCACTTAGAATTATTATTGATGGTGTAGGGGCGCCTGGGTGGCTTAGTCGGTTAAGCTTCCGACTTTCGCTTGGGTCATGATCTCGCGGTTTGTGGGTTCGAGCCCCGCGTCCGGCTCTGTGCTGACTGCCAGCTCAGAGCCTGGAGCCTGTTTCAGTTCTGTGACTCCCTCTCTCTCTGACCCTCCCCTGCTCACGCTGTCTCTCTCTCTCTCCTAGAAATAAATAAAACATTAAAAAAAAATTTAGAATTATTATTGATGGTGTAATTTACTTTGATTTTATTCATTATTTTCTGCATTACTTTTTTTAAAAAGTATTTTTATGAAAGCACTGAAGTTACTACTCTAAGAAATACCTCAAATCTATGTCATTAATATAAAGACAGGAGACGATTGAGCTTAATGATCTCCCAGTTTAATCCCTAGGTCCATGGTGACACTCTAAGAATCAGAAAGTCTTGAATTTTGTCAGGGTAGGCAGTACCAAGATGCTAAACTAGAAGTAAAATGCTAATGTTAGTGATATCCAATTCATGCCAGAACAGTGTATAATTTTATAAAAATTAAGGACTTTAGGCTATAGATGTTTAGTAGAACTGCATACTTTGAAGGGGGTATAAATGGTAGAGTATATAATGATCATTTGTGGAATTTACTTTTCCAAACTGAATTGATAATGATGCATGGTCCAATTGAAGTTTTAATCATTTTCTGAATCAGTCACTATTTTCCATAAAACCTGGAAACTCAAATCAAAGAGTTTTAGAAGGCAGTATTTACTTGAATTTAGTTAACTGTACGTGTTTTTCTTTTTTTTTTTTTTGAAAAGAGTGGATAGCTCTGTTTCATTGCAGTAGTACATGAATATATGAATATGTAATATGTTCCCAAATTAAATTTTCCATTTTGAATAGAAATTTAGAAATAATGATGAGGTCTGCAAAAAGAATATAATCAAATCATTCTTCACCTCAACTGTCTTCTCATCAATCTGTTAATAACTAGAATGAGCAGAAAACAGAAAAATAAAATCATGGCATAGAGGCATAATAGCATTGTTGTTTAAACAAGTGAAAGTGTTCTTCTATCAACATTAAAGGAAATGAAATTCATATAATAACTTATAAGAGAAAACTATAGGAGAAATCAAATAATAAGTCTTAATGACACCTACCAGTTTTTAGTATAATTATTTTTAATCTTTCATTTTCTTTTCATCTACATATTGATATGTATAAATAATCATAGTTACCAGTCCCTGAAGATAAGAATGTTCATTGGCTTTTCCTTAGCTCCCTTCCTGTATTTAGTAAGTGCAGAGTTCCAAGTTTGAAGGTCAAGACTTTTGAGAAGTTTGAAATCATAGAGAGGAGTGAATAATGAAGATCAAAAATATTTTAAAAGCTGCATCATTGTTATATTAACACAGTAACTAGGGCGCCTGGATGGCTCAGTTGATTTCGGCTCAGTTCATGATCTCACAGTTTGTGAGTTTGAGCCCCGTATCTGGCTTTGCACTGAGAGCTTGTAGGGCCTGCTTGGAATTCTCTTTCTCCTCTCTCTGCGCCTCCCCTGCCTCACTCTCATACATATGCTTTCTCTCTCTCCCTCTATCTCAAAATAAATAAACTTAAAAAATTAAAAAAAAAAACACAGGTAACTAAGGGACTGTTTTGTTATGTTTCACATTTCGATACGAGTTTTCATTTTGAAAGACAGTGTGGCAAAAAGTAAACAAGACTAGATAGGAGTCAGAAGATCTGCACAGTACTTTATTTCCTAGAAACCTTGAGGAATTTTAAAGCATCAAGTAAAATACATCAAGGAAAGTGCTTCGTAAGGTGGAAGAACTCTTTATATATATTCATATTATTTACTATTAAGTTTCTCACATGTAATATGGAAATTATTGTAACTTAATACAGCAGCCTTGCTTTAAAATATACAAGTAGGACATATCTTATGGTAGGAGCCTAAAAATATTTCCATATGCAAAATTCTAGAATTCACAAAGGAATTTTTTAAGTAAATGGAAATAATTTAATAAGTGCATCTCTCAATACTGTTAAATACTCTCTTTGTTGCTTTCACACAGTGTGTTGAACCTGAAAATGAGTGGTTAGTTTCCAAAAGGTGAGGCAATGTTGGCAAGATTGAGATTTAGAAGACTAAATAACTTAAAGTAACCAGACTTTTTAAAATATAACACAGACTCAATAATTTTAGCTTATGTAGTTTCCAAAATAAAATGAAGCAAACAACAAAAACACCTGTATGATCAATGCAACTCTAATTTAGGGCAAGCAGCTACAGATTGTAAAGTTTCTCTAGGGTCCTTTTAGAGCACAGATAGTTGATTTGGTGTCATTTTTTCTTTTCTGGTGGTTCTGCTGGGACTCCGATACAAGCAATGTGTACTCTGTTGTCAACCTATGACCTTTCTGTGATGAAGGGAAGATTGGACTGTTGTCTCCTGAGTGTGAGATAATGTAAGGCTTGTCTGAAGAAACCTTTTACAGTCACAAGCAACTGTCCAAATGCTGATAATTGGAGGTGATACAAAATTCTAAAATCAATGTGCAGAAATTTATAAGGAAAACATAACCAACAAGTTTAAGAATAGACTTTTTTTTTTAGTTTCAAAGACATTGCAGTTGAAATATCACTAATAAATATCATTATTTTCATCCTTTGTTTATTTTCCATAAACAATAATGATTTTTTTCTCTACAAATCTTGGATTTTTTTTCTAGCAATTTTTTTTCCTTACAATCTCCCAAATTAAAAGTGTTTGGATTAGAATTGCAGTAACTTTCTCTGTAAATTACATACAAATTGTTTCATTCATACTTGAGGAAAAGTATCATTCACCATTAAAACTCTTTTTTAATATAAAACTATTTCTCACATTGTCTATATTCTAAAAATTGGACAAACATTTTAAAATAGTTAAAATACTTAAAAAATGCCTATTTTTATCAGTAAATGAAATTTATTGGTGAATATGTGAGACCGGCATGGCCAACGAAATCAGTGCTGTCAAAGACCTCAGGAGTGCAGAGCTCGCCACTTGTTCAGAGGGCCACGATTGGGAACGTATTTGACTCCACAACCGTCTGGGATGAGACGCTTCTTAGCCACTTTGTCTTCAAATTCATTAGCATTAAACTTGGTAAAGCCCCACTTCTTGGAGATATGGATCTTCTGGCGGCCAGGGAACTTGAACTTGGCCCTGCGTAAGGCTTCAATCACGTGTTCCTTATTCTGAAGTTTGGTGCGGATGGACATGATGACTTGGCCAATATGGACTCTGGCCACTGTGCCCTGGGGCTTTCCAAAGGCACCTCGCATGCCTGTCTGGAGCCTGTCAGCTCCAGCACAGGACAACATCTTGTTGATGCGGATGACATGGAAGGGATGAAGCCGCACTCGAATGTGAAAGCCATCTTTGCCGCAACTTTTCACCATATACTTGTTGGCACAAATTCGAGCGGCCTCCAGGGCTTCAGAGGAGAGCTGCTCATATTCATCAGACACCATGTGGCCACAGAGTGGGAACTCATCGACTTTTGCCTTCTTGCGACCCAGGTCAAAGATGCGGATTTTGGCATCAGGAACACCTCTGCAGAAACGAGACTTTGGGTATGGCTTGTTTTTACAGTACCGGTAACAGCGAGCTGGTCTGCGACCCATGGCAACAGCTGAAACTCGGAGGGTGTTGAAGAAAACGAAGCAACGGCTGTCACGCCTACGCATGCGCTTTCCTAAAATTGCCCATCTTCCCGCATGGGAACCATAGAGTCCCCGTGACTGCGTGAAGACGCTCTTTCAGGATGTCCCTACCATAGATACAGTAACACTGTACACCTTTGTTGGTACAACTTGTCACATGCGCAGAGCAGAGAGTGGCTAGGTATGCTCTCCTGTGGGCTGCCTAGAAATGGACTTTGCCAGAATGGCCCTAGAAGCCCTTTTCTTACCTGGCTGTCCATCTTTCGCCCTAGGCTTTGTCATAAGTATAAAAGACATATTTTCCTAGAGTTCAAATAAGAAAGGTGTCTCCAGCTATGCAGTATACTTTTTGTGTAGTTTGTCTAAATAGTTTTGCAGAGCTCTTATTTTCCGCCAGCATTTAAAGATCACTTGTTATTTCTCAAAGGGTGTGGTTTCCTTCTCTCGGTAAAATGGTTTCTTTGTGTAAGCTCTTTGAGAAGGTTCAAAGAGATGAGAGTAGAGTGTAAACAGAGATATCTATTGTGTATATTGCTTAATAATTGCTTTAGGAACACAAAACTTTGGTAATTTTATTTGGCCATATGGAATGATCGGATTATCAGAATGGCATCCACAAAATTGAAATACCAATTGAATTTTTTAACTTATGGGTATTTGCATTTTCAAGTATTATATCTGCTAGAAACTATATAAAAGAATAACTGCTTATGCTTTATTAATCTCTTATACCTTACTGAAGGTGAGTGTAATTCCTTTTTTTCCTTCTGACATGGGATTTTATAAAAGTATTATGATCAGGATCAGAATGTGGGAAGGAGGAAAATGAAAGAGAGAAAGAGAATTTACAAATACTCTATAATCTCTACTTTAATTTTTGCAGTTTTTTTGATTCCTCAGTGCTCTTTCATAAATCGAGGACATCATGACACGAAGTCTTCCCAGTGTAAATATACTCTGCTAATGCTTTCTTTTTAAAATGGAATCAAATAAGTTGTGACAAAATAACTCCTATCTTTAAAATGAGTGAGGTTTTACAAAATATCCATATCAGATAGAATTATTAAAACTCCCAATTTAGGGGCACTTGGGTGGCTCAGTTGGTTAAATGTCTGCCTCAACTTCAGCTCAGATCATCATCTCACCATTTTGTGAGTTGTAGCACCACTGCAGTCAGTGCACAGAGGCTGCTTGGGTTTCTCCCTCTCTCCTTCTGCCCCTTAGCTGCTTATGCTCTCTGTCTCTCTCAAAATAAATAAATTCAAAAAAAATTTTAACTCCCAGTTTAGAGAACTTTCTTATATTATGTTAAAGCTTGCTTACTTCTACTTTCTTCCTTTATTTCTACCTTCCCATTTTCCTCAAATCATTTCTATTTACTATCTAAGCCTGAATATGGAAAAGAGACAATACGAAAAGTTGTATTGTCCTCAGTGAGTTTATAGGTGTAGTAGAGGATTTGGATGCTCCTCAAATAATATATCATCATATTACTAAGTACAAAATGTGCCAAAAAGGGAAAGCAGAGTGAGCCCTGAGAGCCTGGGATGAGGCCCTGAACTCAACTGAGGAATGGACAGGGACAACCTTATCAGGAAAGAGACTTCATACAGTGATGTGGCACATGGGGCTTGGCCTGTGCAAAGACTCTGAAGAAGGGAAGAACCTGAACCATTTAAGGAACTAAAGTAAGGCCAGTATGAGTATGAGTGAGAGTGTGGGTGGCATAATGTGAGCCTTGTGTGTGTGTGAGGCGTGCCTTGTATATCATACAGTCTCATTTTACCAAATTAAGGATTGTCCTCTTTTGCTCAAGGCCACTGAAGAGCTTTACACAGGTTTTATCAATCTTGTTATATACAGTATGGTTGACAGACTGGAAGAGGCAAAAAATAGGTACAGGGAGATCAGGAAGGAAGGCTTTGCAAGATTGAAGAAAAGAAATGAGGAAGGCTTGAACATACTTTTAATATGTTACTTTATAAACATGTTTGTACCTGTTTCTATTATGACATGCCTCAAAACTATTGTAGTTCTGGGGAAAAGGAGTCTGCAAGGTAAAAGGAATAGAACCAGAGTCCATGTGCCATCACACAGTCACTCACACTTTTCTAGGTCATGCTTTGGGTTTTCAAAACCCTAGAACTCTCTGACCAACAGAAGTTGTGTTGTTATCAGGGCCTGCTGGCAGAATCCTTTCTCCCTCATCCAAAAGGTGACCATTCCTGGTTTTCTGGAATTATACCAACTTTAGCCCTGAAGTTCTATATCCTCTAAAACCTGTAGTCCCTGGCAAAGTGTAAAGGTTGGTCAGTCTACCACACTTATACATGAGGCCCCTTACAGTTGCAGGACAGAATCAGAGGGCAAGAAGAGAAGGTGGGAGGTAGATTAGGATTCTCCATTTCCCTGGCCTTTTGAGTATTACAGGAGACCCTGTGAAAAATGCATGAGCTGCACTATTCTATTTAAATGTTAAAAGCATTCCCCTCCATCAATTCCAAAAATCTGAGTATCCCCCTATCTTCCCTCTCCATCATCAATTCCAATCACCAATGTGATATCAGTGAACATGAAGATGGGGACAGATGCACATAATCAGCTCTTGTGAGCCACTATTAATCAACTCCAGTATGCTACCATTTAGCTGTGCATACCCAGGAAAAACAGAAATAACAAATTGGCTAAAGCTAATAATGCATAATCTGAAAAAATAATTTTGGGAATGGGTGGGAGAGAATTTCTAGCAGCTCTTAGAAAGGAGCCAGGTAAATATGTTTAGACTTGATTCAGCTTTGGCCATGAAGAATTCTTTCCTCCATGGTTTCTTTTTCTTATCCCACAACCCCTGTATAAGAGGTCTGAAATTTTCTACACTGACATACTTCAGAAATATTGGGAGATCCAGTCCAGACCACTACAACAAAGTGAATATTCTAATAAAGTGAGTCAAATGAATGTTTTAGCTTCCCAGTGCATACAAAGGTTGGGTTTACACTATACTATACTATAGCATACTATGTGCCCACTACCCTATTAAGTGCGCAATGCCATTTGGTCTAAAAAATGTACAAACCTTATTTAAAAATATTGCTAAAAATTGCCAACCATCACCTGACCTTTCAGTGAATTACAATCACTGAACACAGATAACCATAATAAGTATAATAGTGAAAAGGTTTTCAATATTCTGAAAATTACTGAAATGTGAAACAGAGACAGAAAGTGAACAAATGATGTTGGATAAATGACACCAATAAACTTGCTCAACACAAAGTTCCCACAAACCTCTAATTTGTAAAAACAAAACAAAACAAACAAAACAAAACAAAAAAAAACAGTCTCTGGGAAGCACAATAAAACAACATACACCCCTGTACTTGTTGATTAGACATCTATCAAAGCAGTACCTAGAATTAACACTAGACAATCAAATTAGAGTTAGCTTCTGCCTTCATGCAAAGATTGGAAAAGAACAGTCCTATCTATCAATTCAATGCAGCACTTTCTTTCCTTCTTTAATATTGTAATACATCATTTCACAAAAAGCTAATCCTGGAGTTCTCAGAGGACTATGCATTGAAGTCTATTATACTAATACTGACATGCACCCTTTATGTCCTCTCCTACTGCTGGAACTGTCTGCATTGTTGATCACTGAGTCATTATGTAGTGTCTCATTACTTGGTATTTGAGAGTGTATTGTGATTCAGAAATCATGTTCCCTTTTGGGCTCTCAATGAGGTATAAAGTCTCCACTGATGATGAACAGTCATTTCCATCTGTGTTTCTTAGTAACTTTAGACTGGGAGCTGTAATCTCAAAAATTTTTGATAGCCCACATGGGCAACTTGATATTTTCCTGGACTTGAGTAGTGAATGTAAGAGTCATGGTTATGGCTGGCCTTTTCTTCAAAGTCAGCTGATTATGTCTATTGTCATGGCTAATGAGCGGTCATGCTGCCTACCTCTCATGTACCTGTTTCACAGTGGTTTCTTTATATATTTGACAAATGCAAATATTCTGAATAGAAATACAGTCGGATGATTTTAAATGTTTAGTCCCAGATGTCTAGGGCATTTACTTTTTTGGCTGATATTTTGCATATAGGAACTTTGTAAACTTACCTTCATGCTTGGGTAGCATAGTATATATAGTATATATCCCCCAAATGACTGATCTTTTTACATTGTTCCAGAAAATTAGAAAAAATGGGTGAGGATTAAATCAAGGAGACATAACATAAATATGTGCATTATAATTTGATTGATCTTTAATTAGTAATTTTTTACTCATTTACTTGGTTAGGTTTCATACTTGTGCAAAATTTATAAGCCATTAATCAGTTTTATACAGTAATTGATGTGTAGTTTTATAATAAATGCTTAAGTAATTTTATTAGAAGGATATACTTTATAATTAATAAAGATGCTATAATAAAAAAATGCTATACTAAAGATAAATCAATACAAAGAATCTACATATGTTTTTAAAAGCCCTTCTGTCTTAAAAGGGCTTAATCCAATCTGAAGATTTGAGAAATGCTGATCTGAGAATGGGTGCATGTGTTAGTCTTGTCTTCCCACATACTGAGTGCATGGGCTTCCTGTACTTTAAAGTCCTTGTCTATTTATTTAAAAAGCATACTATTGAAAGCCATGTTATTATCTCCCTTGCTGACCGAGTTTCTTGCCAATGGCATGTAGCTTATGTGTTTTACTAGGATTACAGACATGCATGAAGCAAGTATTTGGTTAAATGTTGATATTATTTAATAATTTATATCATAACACTCAATTGTATTTAAGGTTAAATGAATCTTGTATGCTTAATGGACAACCTCTTTATCCCCTAAATAGATCTTTTTCTTAAAGAAAGTGAACAGTCAACCTTAGGGATTAGATGTAAGGGTTATTTAATTATGAGATAAGTATTCTGATTGATAAAATGATTTTGGAAGGCTTTTTTAAAAGCTTTGCCTCACCTGTCAAACATTTTAACCCATTCTTATTTTGGGCTTTCT